AGAACGAATGGGTTTTTGAAAGACTCTTTCTCGCGTCCCGTTATACGAGGAACGTCGTCCTGACAAACCAGTCGGGAAGCAGGGGAGACACAGCTGTCCTCCGTGCCCCTGTCTCTGTGTGGAGTCGACAGTTTTGTCTCCGTTTCTCCAATATTGGGTTTTAAAAAGAAATATCTAGATGTTATCGCCTGGAGATTATCTTCAGAGCTGCGTGGGTTAGAGATTATTACTCAGAAAAACAATCACCGGCATTGCTGGAGTCCCCCACCCCCACGCTCAGCAGCCTCCAAGGGTACGCCAAGGGCCCCCCCAGGTGAACACCTCCAGCCTTGGCCCCCAGGAGAAATCCCGGTGACAGAGCCGCAGAGGCGGGCACACTGAGCGTGGTGACGTTCGCATGGGCTTGGGAAACGTCCCGAACGCAATCCCAGGGGCCAAGGTCACCCTGACCTGGTGGACTCCCTAGACTGGCCTCCTCTCGGCTCTGTCACTGTCCTCATCCGACCCCGTATCCTTAATAAAGGAGAGTCAGCCCTGGCCAGTTTGGTTCAGGGTTAAAGCGTCGACCCGTGGACCAGAGAGTCCTGGGTTCGGTTCCCGCTGAGGGCACGTACCTCGGTTGCGGTTTGTCCCCGGCCCCAGTTAGGGTCATGCGGGTGGCAGCCACTCCATGTGTCTCTCTCACGTCGATGTTTCTCTCTTTCTTCCTCCCTCTCTCCTTCTCGCTGTATCTGAAGATAAATGCAAACATGTCCTCGGGTGAGGATAAAACAAAAAAGGAGTTGGCCTGTGTCCTGCCCTGAGGAGCCTGCAGGAGTGACCGCTGGGCTGGGCGAGAGGTGGCCGAGGGCCTCCGGGGCTCCCCGAGGACAGGCAGGGGTCTGATGGGGTTTGGGATCCCCAGCACCAGGCAGGGAGCGGGCAGTCCAGAGGCGACGTGGAGGCAGGAGGATGACCGACCTGGGGGACGCGGGGTCTGGGGGTGCTGTGTGCAGCAGGGACCCGGCTCCTGTGAGGTCAGGCTGGGCAGTGCCTTGAGAGTCAGGGTGAGGAGCTGGACCTTTGTCCTGGAGCTGTGGGGACTCACCGCCCTGTTTTAAGCATAAAGATGGGGGTCCAGGCACCTGATTGTTCTGGCTGGGGGGGCAGATGGGGCTTCATGCCGTGGCCCCCACGCAGAGGCAGTGAGTGGAGGCGAGGGAAGGGGCTGACCGAGGGGCGCACGGGCTCTGTGCTGGGCTGGACGGGCGCGCGGACCTGCAGCGTCGGCTGCCACGAGCAGGGCCCCCACGGGGAGGCGCGAAGGAGGACCGGGCCTGGGGACACCCCGGGAGTGGTCCTGGCCCTGCTGACTTTCGGTGCCTTTGAGAATCCAGAGCGGAAACGCGGAGGAGGCAGCTGGATGTGGAGTTGGGGTCTGGACTGGACAGAGGATGCGGGAGTCCTGGCCCCAGTGGGGCCGCTGAGGCTGATGTCGGGTGCGGGGAGAAGGGCCCCCCAACCCTGGGAGCACTGCCCCACACAGAGCAGAGCAGGGCGCAGCGGGCGGTGGGGAGCAGACGCCCAGGGTGGTGCAGGGAGTGGCAGGTGGGGAGGAGGGGACGAGCCTTCCGAAGGTTTCCTTACAACAGGCAGAAGAGCGGGTGGGGAGTGGGGTCCCTGCACCCCTTTCCGCACCAGCCTCAGCCCCATGAGGGTTGGCACCCAGGAAGAGGAGTTGGGGAGGGTTCCTGCTCCTCCTCCCATCCCAGCTGCTGCCAGCACCCCCACACTGCTGCAGGATGAGAGGGAAGAGACCCAGACCCGGCTCCACCCCCCTCACCACACCAGACTGCTGAGACCCTCCCTCTCCGCTCCTGCTCGGCCTTCTCTCACCCACTGCCCATTGGCCGTGAGCGCTGCATGATTTAAACACTGGGCTCAAGGGTCTCCTCTGGAGGATTGTCTACCTTCCATCTCCCTGGGGACACTCAGCCCTCGCCCTAGAGTCACCTGCTGCAGATTCATCATAGCACACCGGGCACCCTGCACACAAGGCGCTTTGCACATGAGGCACTCTGCACACAGGACACTGCACACATGGTGCTCTGCACACAGGGCACCCTGCACACGTGGCACTCTGCACACACAGCACTCTGCACACGAGGCACCTGCAAATGTGGCACTCTGCACACACGGCACTCTGTACATGAGGCACTCTGCACACAGGGGACTGAACACACAGTGCTCTGCACACCGGGCACCCTGCACATGTGGCACTCTGCACACACGGCACTCTGCACACAGGACGCTGCACACATGGTGCTCTGCACACAGGGCACTCTGCACACAGGGCACCCTGCACACACGGCACTCTGCACATGAGGCACTCTGCACACAGGACACTGCACACATGGTGTACTGCACACAGGGCACTCTGTACACAGGACACTGCACACACAGTGCTCTGCACACATGGCTCCCTGCACACAGGGCATCAGCACACATGGCACTCTGCACACATGGTTCCCTGTACACAGGACACTGCACACACGGTGCTCTGCACACAGGGTTCCCTGTACACAAGGCATCAGCACATGAGGCGCTCTACATACACGGCACTCTGCACACAAGGCCCTCTGCACACAAGGCACTCTGCACACGAGGCCCTCTGCACACACGGTGCTCTGCATGCACATAGGGCATTCAGCACACAGGGCACTTCACACAAGACACTCTGCACACACGGCTCCCTACACACAGGGCATCAGCACACATGGCACTCTGTGCACAAGGCACTCTGCTCACTGGGCACTCTGCACACAGGGCACTCTGCACATGTGGCGCTCTGCACAGAGGGCACTCTGCCCACACAATGCTCTGCACATAGAACATCAGCACACAGGGCACTCTGCACACAGGACACTGCACACAGGATACTCTGCACACATGGTGCTGTGCACACAGGGCACTCTGCCCATACAATGCTCTGCACATAGGGCATCAGCACACAGGGCACTCTGCACACAGGACACTGCACACAGGATACTCTGCACACATGGCGCTGTGCACACAGGGCACTCTGCACCACTCACCAGCCCTGGAGCCAACCCCCACAACCCCGCAGTACTCTGATGGGGAACAAGTGCTCCCCTCTCCAGCTCATTGTGCCAGAAACTTAATTGCATCATCTCATGCAATCCACACAACAAAGCTTTGAGAAAGAATCGCCTCCCATTTTCCAGCCGGGAAAACTGAGGCCCAGAGAGGTGAAGTGACTCACCTGGGCACTCACCACCAGTAAACCACAGTTAATTCCCATCCAGGTCTGTTTCTTCCTGTCTCTCGCAGGGACAGAGCGTGTGCAGGTAAGGCGCCCAAACCGTGCCGGCAACAGAGGCACCGGACAACTTGTTAGTGTAGTTAACACATTTTCACTATGGATAGTTCATCAATTACTGAGCCCCGATACTGGGGGCTGTGGGAAACCAGGAAGGACGAGCTCAGGTTTGCACAGGGCAGGAGGCAGACGCGAAGAAGAAAGGAAATGAATGAATAGATCAGCTCGGAGAGGTGCTGCTGCAGAGCAGGTGACTGGCCGAAGGGGCTCCAGCAGACAGCAGAGGCGCCCGCTCCCGCCCCACCCCGCGGCCTCCCCACGGAGGCGATGTGCTCAGTATGCCCGGGTTCCCCCTGCAGTCCGATCCAGCCCGTCTCACGTTCTTCCACACTGTCATGCCAGGTCTGAGCTTTAAGCCTTCCAGTAAACCCCGGTCTGCAAATATTTACCTTTTCATTCAGCATCTTCCAACCCTCCCCTCGGAGGCCCCACGAGGAAGCCCTCCCTGGGGACAACGCACAGGGCGCCACTGGGAGGGTTTAATTCCAGAAGTTTCTCTAGCAGGCGAGGCTGCTCAGTCAGGGGGTGTGGGACCCTCCCCCCCAGCCCTACGTGTGTGTATACCAGCCCCTGAGCACACACACGTGCACACCTGCACCTGTCCTGCACGCACCACCACACTGCAGAGCCTGAAACCTTTCAGAATCTGCCCAGCTGCTCCTCAGACTTCAAAAGACTCGCTTCTCCATTGTGTACATGAACCACAGCTTTTTTATCCATTCGTCAACTGATGGACATTTGGGCTGTTTCCAGATCTTAGCTATTGTAAATAGTGCTGCTATGAACATGGGGGCACATATATTCTTTCCTATTGGTGTTTCGGGCTTCTTAGGGTATATTCCTAGAAGTGGGATCACTGGGTCAAATGGAAGTTCAATTTTTAATTTTTTGAGGTAACACCATCGTGTTTTCCATAGTGGCTGCACCAGTCATATACACAATGGAGTACTATGCAGCTCTAAGAAAGAAAGATCTCTTATCCTTTGAGACGACATGGAGGGACCTAGAAACTATTATCCTAAGCAAAACAAGCCAAGCACAGAAAGACAAATATCACATGATCTCACTTATTTGTGGAATATAATGAACAGAACAGTCTGAGGAATGGGGTAGTCCCAGAGACGTGGAAGTGGGGTACAGACTGACTAGCCCCAGAAGAGGGGGTGGTGGGGGAGAGATAAACCACAGAACTTATATGCATGTATGCATGGACAGTGGACATGGACAACAAAGGTGGGGACAGGATGGGGAGGGAGAGGAAGGGGGAATCAGTGGGGGGAAAGGAGAAACATCTGTAACAAAAATAAATAAATAAATTAAAAAAAAAACAAAAAGACTTGCTTCTGCACAGAAAACCCAACAGGACCCAGATGGCAAGACCCAGGAAAGGTCTGGATGAAGTGGGTTCCACACATGCTGCTCCGGCTGACAGGTGGGGCGGCCGGGAGGTGCTGCAGCCTCTCCCGGGGTCTGTACCCTCCCATGGCCCCTCTGCAGTCACGGCTCCTTGCCCCTTACCACCCTCAGCGGGCTCCCCTCGGTGTCGGGCAGAGACTCCTGAGCAGCCACATATCACCGTGACTTGCTGTGACCTGGTTCAAATCCACGCTCTGGAGCTTACCAGCTGTGTGAGCTTGGGCAAGTCACTTCACCTCTCTGTGCCTTGATTTTGCAACTATAAAACGGGGATGCAATAATCTCACAGAGGTGTTGCGGAATGGACGTCTAAAGCATTTAGAGGAGGGCCTGGCACAGGGCAAGAGCCACAGACGGGTTGGCTACTCATTAATGGGAGGATGAAAGTCCTCGTATCTGAAACACCACCTCCAGCTCGTCCCCAGCTGACCATTTCCGAGCTTTACACTTCGCGTCAGCAGCGGAACGCACAGGAACTCACACACACTCTCTCCACCTGCCCAGCCCGGGGCCCAGCACTGCGCCTGGCTCATCAAACTCGAGCCCTGAGGGTGCCGAGGGCGCTGGCCTCCCTCGGGGGTCCGAGGGAACGGCAGCGGGGCTTGGTGCCTGCCCAGCTCACACAGCAGCAAAGCGACAGAACTGGAAGCCCACCGAGGTCGGGGCCTCCACACCCCTGCTCTGGCTACAGCACCGCGTGCCCCACGGAGTAGGAAACGTGGGCGGTGGGACCTGAGCTCGCTTCCCTGGGTCCCCGGCCGCAGTTGGGGGATGCCGGCCACGGCAGGACTCCAGCCCTGCGTCCGGACCACCTGCAAACCGTGCAGAGGTCTGTCCGTGTGCTCTGAGTTCTTTGCAGGGAAGACACCAATAAAAAGAAAAAGAAAAAAATCAGAACAGCCCAGCTAAGCTGAAATGCTGTCCTCAGAGAAGGGAAATAAGGTTTGATGAACCTCCGCATAGCGTCCGAGTTGTGAGAGTGTGAGTGATAGACCGGACGTACGCTGGACCAGGCCTCGCCTGCATCGCTGGGACCAACGGAACTGGGGCACCAGCCAACAGCCCTGTGCCTCAGCAGAACAGGGCTGCCCACGGACGCCCAGGTCTCCCACAGCCGAGGAGGCAACTGATGCCGCGTTAATGGGATGGTTTTAGACATCAGGCTGTCTGTGTGGCTTCTATAAACATTTCCCGAGCACCTGCTGTGGGTCTGTCCCGTCCATGCCAGTCACTGACCCCAGCCTCGTGAACGTGCTCTGGCACCGCCGTGGGCGGGGCAGGCCTGTACGCCTGCTCAGGGGCTGGCCAGGGTCTGAACGCCTGACCCGGCGCTTTAGCGTGCGGGTGCTGGGATTCTGAACCTGCCCGACGATGAGGCGGTTAGGGCTGAGGTCTCCAAAGAGAATTCAGTCGATCACCCCCCCACACACACACACACACACACAATGTAATGAGCACCTACTAAGTGCCTCGCCCAGTTCTAGGTGCTCAGAATACAGTGATAATACAGCAAAGCCCTTCTATCATGGAGCTCACAGTCGCCAAACTCTCAAACAGATAATAAATAAAATAATGTTAGATTGTATAGGTGCTATGAAAACATAATAATGGGTTAGATAGTGACTAGGACGGGATTTGGGGGGTGGTACAAATATAGCCAACTGGTTAAGGAAGACCTCACTGAGCAGAGGCCTGAGTGAGCCAGCCAGGTGAGTATTCCAGGCAGGGACACAGCAGGTGCAAAGGTCCTGAGGTGGCTGAGCTTGCAGTGTTCAAGGCACAGAAAGGAGGCCACAAGGCAGAGGAGAGACAATGGTCTGTGTGGCCCCCACCATGCGACTCCTTGGATTGAAACTGTAGCATGTGCCCCACAGAGAGTCCAACTCCTCAACACTGCCCAGCCCCCGGCCTCTAACCCTCTTCCTCCTTAGACTCGGTCCCCAGGACCTTTCATTCCCCGCCCTGACGGGCAGTGCTGCACCCCAATCACTCCCCCACAGCCGGCTCCGGGATGGGATCTGGGCAAGGTAGCTGATTCAGGAGGCGGTCCCGGGAAACATGCCAATCATCTGCCCATCTGTCCTTCCACCCATCCGCCACCCACCCACCATCTATTGTCACCTCCTCTATTCCCAGCCAGAAACAGAGGACTGTGCTCAGCTGTGGTCCCTGGCCTCGAGGAGGCCCCCCAGCAGCTGTCGCCAACCCCACTGCCGGTCCTCTTCCCTCTCAGCGCGTGGCAGAGCCGATGGAAGCCCGGCCCCGCCTGTGGATGCCCATCTTGGTTCTCACGGCAAACACTCTCTTGATTCCCTTCCTGCCTCCTCGGGCTCTAGGTACCAGCAGTCACATGCCCCGTAAACACTGAAATGTCCCAACGCCGGGGAGTCCAAACTCGGCCTCGCCCAACCTGCCCCTTCCAGCAGAGCATCTGTCAGACCGCTCAGGCTGCGGTCTGCCCGAAGCCCTGTGGCCACGGAGGCCAGCGGTGGCCAGAGGTGACCCCGTGTGCACTGACCTCTCCCGGAAGTACTTGATGGCCTCAGGGTCTATGAAGGTCGGCTCCTCCCGGTAGCCCAGCTCAATGACCTTGCGCTTATGCCGGAACTCAATGACCGTCTTGGTGTAGGAGTTGAGCGTGGTGACGGAGGCGGCCATGCAGCAGGTGAAGGAGCCCCACGCCAGGCTGCAGAGAGAGGAGAGAGCTGCCAGTCCCCCCACCACCCGACATCCATCCACCTGCACGCTGCCTCTCCTGGGCCAGACCTAAGCAGGCACCGCAGAGAAGGACAAGACCGGCCCTGCCCCGCCCGCGGCCTGGTGTGGGGCAGCAGCACCTGTGTTACTGGGAGGCCAGGAGGGAGCGAGTCACCCCATCTGGGGGCTGACAAGGGGGGTGGCCACAACACAGCAGTGCTGCGCCTGGGAGGACGAGGAAGGCCTCGACAGAGGGAAGGACATCCCCGGATGAGGGAAGGGCATGTGCAAAGGCCCGGGGGCATGAGGTGTAGGGCGCACTCCACAGTGGGAGGTGTGGGATCCCGGGGGAAAGTCACCTGAGGAGAGCAGAGGGTGAGGTGAGGAGATGGGGGCCAGAAACCCTAAGAGCAGGTTGTCTGTGAGCGTTAATTACCTGTGTCCATGTGTGACCTTGGACAAGATTCTTGACCTCTCTGCCTCGTATTCCTTGCACCCAGTTTCATGGACATGACAAGAGCTCCACCTCACAGGGTGGTTGCGAAGATTAGAGGATCCGTTGAAAACCCCTTAGAACAGAGGCTGGTATGCAGCCGGCGTCCCTGAGAGGCGGCTGTCATCGCTGTCATCACAGTCATCAACACCTGCGCTGCCCACGTCCGTCCGGCTCTCCCAGCTCTCCCCCCAGGGATTACATGGGAATGCCCCTCGCACCCGCGCACGTCCTCGAGGCACAGCTGGGCCCTGGGTGCTCGCCCGCCTGATGCGTGTGCGGAGCCAGCCAGAGCTGGAGCATCCGTCCTGCCCTCGTCCGGGAGACGCAGCGGGCAGGCTGTGGGCCTTCTCTGACTCCTCTGGCCAGGCCTGCGGTAACGCTTACAACCAGGCGTGTGGACCCACCTCGCTGCAGTCGCACCTGGGCTGGTTCCCGGTCGCTGTCCCCCAGGCTCTGCCTTGATGACTGGTTTCCTTCGATCAAGGGCTCAGCTTTGTTGTTATCAGCCCTGCACTGTCCCCAAAACTCCAGCCTCCCCTTCCGCCAGCCCACAGGGTCCGTGGACCGCACCCCTGCGGTCCTCAGTGGGTGCCACCACCTCCTGACCCGCTGACTCCGCGTCAGTCTCAGCGCCGGAAGCACGGGGGGCGAGGGTGCAGCCTTTCCCTGCCGACCCCATTAAAGGGTTCCTGCTCTTTCACGCTAAGGAGCTAATTTAGCTCTTCCAGGAGCTCCGACTGACAGACAGCTGTGGGCAGTCAGCCTGGCCCCTCGAAGAACTGCCCTGCCCACCAAAGGCGGGTGACCCATAAGGGCCGCACCTCGGACCAAGCCTCGTTTAATCAGATCATCCCTCCTCTGAGCAACAAAGTTCAAGGTTCTAGTTCGATCTGGGAGCTCTGTTTGAACCAGAGAGACGGAAATTCAGAACCTGAGGATGGAGAAGGAAGAAGCAGACTCTTTTCTGGGATCCCATGAGGACACATCTGCTGGGTTTGCCTGCCCCTCACCCACTCTCTTCAGGGACCACTCCGCCCTCCTCTGGGCCATGTGGTTTGTGTGGGGCTGGCCTGCCCCAGCCCTTAGGAGCGAGCACATGACCAGGCCCGGCCAGCGAGAGTGTCGCTTCCCTTTGGCCACAGTAATTGGTTCAGGATGGGCATGAGACCCCCAAGTCAGGCTGATGAGACCCAACCCCAGGACTTCTGCGGAAGCTCTCAGGGAAGAGGCCCAGCTCTCCTCCGGAGTGGGGTTGAAGCCAGGGGCTTCCGGGGACCGTCACACCACTGTGCGGCCTGAGAAGGAAGCTGACCCCGAAGGAAGGAGAAAGGCCCTCGATCCCCGAGCTGAAGCCATCCTCCTGGGGCCGGTCAGCTGTGGGAGCCCAATTCCTTTTCCGGATTTTTATTTTTCCTTAAGCCAGTTTGAATTGAGTTTCTGTCCCTGACCATCAAAGTTCTTATACAATTACTTCCTATAAATTCCTTTTTTTGCATAAGTCCATTTCACAGTGAATTTCTGGTCTTCACGACCAGGGACCTCACCTGTGAGGAGCTCCGGCTCCCCGCGGTGAGGACGCCGGCGGAGGCGCATCTCCGCCCCGCATTCCTCCCAGCCCTCCCTCCCTGCAGTTCTCCGTGGCCTTCCCTCTACTCACTACTTCTGGTTTTTAAACTAAACTTTTTATTTCAAGGTAATTATGGATCGGTGTGTTGTAAGAAACAATACGGAGCGGTCCGTGTACCCTGTACCGTCTCCCCGGCGGTAGCACCTTGCAAACACAGTCGTGTGCACCGGGGTCCCACACCGGCCCTCGGCTAGGGGACCCGCCGTCCATTGCCACAGGGCCCCCAGAGGCAGCTGATAGCCTCGTCCACTTTCCTCCAGCCTCTGGCAACCACCAGTCAGTTCCTCATTGCTATAATTTTGTCATTTCAAGACTATGACAGACATGGAATCACGCAGTATGTGTGTCCGGGCCTGGCTTTTCCACTCAGCACGCCCTACAGTCACCCTGGATGTGGGTGGAGCAGCGGGTCCCTTTGTGCCCAGGTAGGCTCCTGCCTGCCATGCACGGGTTTCTCTACCTCCTCGCCGTTGTCGTTACATTGTAAAGCAATTGACTGATTGATTTGTCAATATGTTTTATTGATCTTTTTCTTTTTTAGAGAGAGAGAAGTGCTCATGTCTCTGACCACTTTGCCATCGTTGTTTACTGTTGAGTTTTGAGCGTTTTTATAACCCTAGATACCAGTCCTTTTCAGATACGCGGTTCACAAATGTTTTCTTTCAGTTGGAAGCTTGTCTTTTCAACCTCTTAACAAGGTCTTTTACAGAGCTAAAGTGTTTAATTGTGATGAAATCCAATTTGTCAATGTTTTCAATGCTTTTGATGTCAAGTCTAGCAACTCTTTGTCTAGGTCTAGATCCCAAAGGTTTTTCTCCTATTTTTTCCTAAAAATTTTATAGGTGTACATGTGATGCCTCTTGAGTTAAATTTTACAACGGGTATGAAGTTTAGATCAAGACTCATTTTTCTTTTTTTGGCTTAATGTTGTCTAATAGCCCTGGCACCATTTGTTGAAAAGGCTATTCCAGCTTGTACCTTTGTCAATAACCAGCTGGGCCTGGCAGGTGTGGCTCTGTTGGTTGAGCGTCATCCTGTACACTGAAAGGTCACTGGTTCGATTCCAGGTCAGGGCACAGGCCCAGGTTGCAGGTTTGGTCCCTGGTCAGGGTGCATGCAGGAGGCAGCCAATCAATGTTTCTCTCTCACATCAGTGTTTCTCTCTTTCTCTTTCCCTCTCCTTTCCTCTCTCTATAAAATCAATAAAAACACTGGATAGAAAAGAAAGTTGGGCATATTTGTGTTGGTCTATTTCTGGATTCTTTATTCTGTCCCATTGACTTGGGTGTCTATGCCCCACCAACACCACACAGTCTGATTACTGTAGCTATACAATAAGTCTTGAAATTGGGTACACTGATTCCTCCTCTTTTTTTCTTCTTTTTCAAAATTGTTTTAGCTATTTTAGTTCCTTTGCCACTCCTAATATAGTTTAGAATAATCTTGTCTATATCTATAAGAAATTACATTTTTGCCCTGGTCAGTTTGGCTTAGCAGTTAAGTTAGAGCATCAGGCTGTGGTCCCGAGAGACCCAGGTTCGGTTCCCGCTAAGGGCACGTACCTCGGTTGCAGTTTGTCCCTGGCCCTGGTTGGGTTGTAAGGGTGGCAGCCACTCGATGTGTCCCTTTCACGTCGATGTTTTTCTCTCTCTCTCTTCCTCTCTCTCCCTCCCACTCTATCTGAACGAAAAAATGGAAAAATATCCTCGGGTGAGGATTAAAAAAAGAAATTACATTTTAATAGGAATTGCATTAAATCTGTATACCAACTTGAGGAGAATTGACCTCTTTACCACAAACATGGTATATTTCTCCATTTACTAGATCTTCATTGATTTCTTTCATTGGCATTTTGTGGGTCCAGCCACCAAATCCTGAAGATGTTTTGTTAGATTTATGACTAAGCATTTCACTTTTTTCAGTGTAAATGGTATTGTATTTTTAGTTTTGTTTAATTGTTCATTGCTAGTTTATAGAAATATAATTGATTTTTGTATCTTTATCTTGTATCCTGAGACAGTACTGAATGCATTTATTAGGTCTAGGCGCTTTTTTTTTTTTTTTTAATGTGTAGATTTCTTTGATTTTTTCTGCATAGACAACCATGTTATCTGAAAACAGGTATAGTTTACTTCTTCCTTTCCCTGTATATCTTTTATTTACTTTTCATGCCTTATTGCACTAGCAAGAACCTCCAGCACCATGTGGAGTATGAGTGATGTTCCCAGTTTTAGAGAGAAAGCATTTAATCCTCACCATTGAGTATGATGTTAGCTGTAGGCATTTAGGTAGATGCTCCTTATCAAATTTAAAAAGTTCCCCTCATCCTTGCCAGTTTGGCTCAGTGGTTAGAGTGTCAGCCCACAAACCAAAGAGTCATGGGTTTAATTCTGGTCAAGGGTACATACCTCAGTTGTGGTTCATTCTCTGGCCCTGGTTGGAGTCATGCAGGAGGCAACCAATTAATGTGTGTCTCTCTCTCCCTCCCTCCCTTCCTTCTTTCCACTCTATCTGAAAATCAATGGAAAAATATCCTCAGGTGAGCATTAAAAAATAAATATAAAAAAATAAAAAGTTCCCCTCTATTTTTAGTTTTCTGAGAGTTTTTATTTAATCATGAATGTATGTTGAATTTTGTCAAATATTTTTTCAGCATTGATTAATATGATCATGTGATTTTCCCTTTATGTCTCTTTATCTTCCCCCATTAATAATACGATTGCCTCAAATATTTCCTCTGTGTTCATTTAGAATTGCATCAAACTGTGTTATCATTTTTACTTCAATCATCAAGCGTGATTTAGAAAACTCAAGAGGAAAGTATAATTTTCTTTCCTTTTTCCTGCTGTTTCACGATTTCTTCTTT